GCACGCCCAGCCCCTTTCTGGCCAGCAGGAAGTTTGATTTCTTTCTCTCTCTCTTTTACAAAAGCATATTCTGCGCTCGTTGAGGAAAAGATTTTTTTTTTTCGGCTGGGGGGAACCATTTTCAAACGATCCCCACAATTTATTTACTGCATTTTCCAAAAGTACCAAGGATTTGCCTCCCCCCCCACTCCTCCTCCCCCCTCCCTGCAAAAACCCTTCAGAGCCATTATTTCCCCAAGGCTGGCTGGGGAATTCTGGGAGCCGAAGTCCACACATCTTAAAGCAGTCAAGGTCGAGAAACGCTGCTTCAAAGTGCTCCGAAAGTCAATTGTGCTTGGCGACAGGTTCCCAGCAGCGACACCCCCCCATTTCCTGTCCCTGAAGAAAACACGAAGCCAGCTCTCCTGCTTTCCCTTCTTCTTTCTGCCCCACAGCAATCCAAAGCGAAGCCTCCCCCTTCTCCAAGCCTCCAGCAAAAGTCTCGCTCACCCTCTGCAGGTTGGGCTCCTGTTCCGACCTCATTGTTCCCACGAGATCCGCCTCTCCTGTTCCAAACGGGAACTGGCGGGGCTCGATTCAGTTACTAAACTGAGAAGACTCCAGAAAAGAACTTGCCCAGGGAATTCAAAACAGCTTGCTAGGATCTATTACGCCCTCCCTCCAAGTTTTTAAAGAGTTTTGGTTATCCCAAATGGGTGGCCCCCGATTTCCACTGAACAGACCACCAGGGGCCCTTCCAAAGGAGGGTGTGCTGCAGCTCCTTGGACAGAAGTGGCCACGGGGTGGGTGTGGAGTCTGATGTGGGGTGCCAGACAGCCCCAAGCGGTTGGACACGCTTGCTGCGGAAAGGCCCGTCCCTCAGAGGGGCAGGTAGAGGGAATACTCGGAGTGGGCCCACTTCTTCACAGGCTTGCTGGTCCTGCCAATCATGGGCAGCTTCTGGGCGTAGCGCGAGACGTGCGTGGGGCCATGGTGCTGCAGGAAACAGGTCTGGAAGAGGCGCCCTTGGCACCGGCGCTCCACCTGCCGTCCCGCAATCACGAAACTGAAGTGCGGTGCCCCCTGGAGGGAAAAGCGGCACTTCTGGAAGACGTCGCGGGCGACGGGCCGGTGGCTCTGCTGGCGCAAGGCGCTGCGGGAGCGGGCCAGGCTGGCGGAACGGTGCAAGGCGGGCCGGCTGCCCGAAAAGTCCCCGCGGGGGCTCTCTTCGTCCCTGTGGGGGGGGG